CACAGGGTGCCCAGAGAAGCTGTGGCTGCCCCATCCCTGGCAGTGTTCAAGGCCAGGTTGGACACAGGGGCTTGGAGCAACCTGACATAGTGGAAGGGGTCCAGCCAAAGCATTCTGTGACTGTGTGACTCTGTGGTAGGCTGTGCCCCACTGATGGATGGCACATTGATTTTGTGCTGCATCCATGCCTGGAGAGTGGTTGGGAGCAGCCCTGGAGAGCCCTGGAGGTGCCAAGCAAAGGCCCTGGGAGCTTTGGGGTATTCACACGTCCTGTGGCACAGGCATCCTGCAACTTGTGTGCTTATGTTGGCTTGGCACTTCAGTGTGCTTGCCCAGAAAAGCATAATAGAGCCGTTCTACTGTTTTGCTGTTTCAGGTTCTTGTGCCATTCATCAAACAAGAAACACCACCAGCAGAGAACTCAAAACAAGTGATTAGGAAGGGCCTGCTCAGAGTAAGCCATAGGCAGCCGGTCAGCTGGCAGCTCCTCGTGGAGCAGCAGTGGCTCTGTGATTAAGTAATGATGTGAACAGGGGGAATGCAAGGAGTGGGATTGCACGTGCCGTGCTCTGAGGACACTGCCAGCCCTGGGCTGGGATCCCTGCCCGCTGTGCTCTCCATCAAATACAGTTTTGTGTCCCTTACAACACAGCATTCCCTTAGGGAAGGCGGGATGGCAGTGAGGGCAGATGATTCCCTGAAAGGGTTTTGATGTAGGCCTGAAGCTCAGGGACCCTGCTCACCTTTCCCTGGAGGCTTCTGCCGTATGGAAGGTTTCCTGAACCTTTACATACGGGAGAAGTAATTTTCCTTAACAAATAGCTGTCTGCAGGCAGTGTTTTCCATGCGGTGGTGGGGAGCTGACTACAAGATGAATTGTTCCAGCAGGTATTTGGACCCATGTATTAGTAATTCCTTGAAATTAAATGTGAAAACCTGCAATGGCATGAGTTAATTGAGTTTTACATCCCATTAACTCGCATGTTTTAGATCATGCTCTCAGGCAGAGGCAGCTGCCTTCAGGACATCCTAATTTGCACCAAATAAATATTTCATTTGTGCTAATAAAAGAAGGGCCCGTTCTTGAACTGTGCACATCTGCGTTGAGTGGGGGTGAATGGCATGGAATGGGCAGTGTTCATGAGTCAGTAGTGGTTAGCTGGGCCTTTGCATCGCCGGGGGGGCAGGAGTGTCTGCCTCAGGTGTGGTACAGGCAGGGGGCAGGCATTGAGATGGTGCTGCCTGGCTCCCCAGGGCCAGATCCCCTCTCCCTGGACACAGGAGATGCTTCCACAGAGGTTTGACCTGAAATTCATTCCCATCTCCCAGTCCCTGTCACTCTTCCGCCACTACATGTCGTCAGTTCTCTCCTCTTCATGTTATGTTTCTACCTCCACACTTTCACCTTTCTTTTGATTTCTTTACTGTTTTCCTTCACAGTTGCTGCTCACAGTTATCTCCTGCTTCTCTTCCACTTGTTTCTTTCCCAGTTCTCCTCTATCATCACTTTTCAGTGCTCTAACCTGTCATATGGCTTGAGAAAACCTGCATCTGTACAAAAACATCTCAAAAGCCCCAAGAAGGAATCCAAGCCACCCCAGTGTCCCAGGTAAAGCCTGGGAGGTCAGTCCCACACCCAGGTACACCAGTGGTCTCCACTGTGGGGTGATGGAGGTGGCCTCAGGATGAAGGCATCTCTCCAGCTTGGTTAGCTGGGTGGAGAGCTGGAAGGATGTGTCGCAGTTACCTGGGACTCCTTAAACAAGCTGCTTGCTGTTTTCAAGGATTTGTTGTGTCAAAATAATGTGTGATTCCCTCTATCTCCTCCTCCTCCCTCCCCACCTCACCCGAGCAGTGGCCCAGTGGCGCTGTGCGTGTCGGCGCTGGCTGCGGGTGAGCGTGAAGCCATCCCCCTGTGAGGCGTTCATCACTTCTCTCTCCTCTCCCCTTGCAGCTGCCCAGCTGGATAACATCGGCTTCAGCATTATCAAGAAATGCATACACGCTGTCGAGACAAGAGGTAGAGCAGATCACCAGATGGGCTTGGTCTGGGGGACGGCCTCGCAGCTGTGTGGAGAGCAGCAGTTGCTTACCTGCTTCTTTCCATGATCAAAATGATTCATTACCCCCTGGAGACCCATAGCAGATAAACCTGTGTGTGTGCTCAGCATTGCCTTTGCTGAGAAGCGTGTTCGCCCTGCGGCTGCAGTCAGCAGGGGCTGAGCAAGCGTCAGGGCAGGGTTAGGAAAGGATGTGCTGGAGGTGCAGAACAGGCAAAGGGGCTGAAGCTGGGACTTCATTTGAACTCCTTCACATAGTGAAGGCCCCTGTGTTGTTTGTTAAGCACAGATCCTTTGTGGTGCAGCCATAACTGCCTTGCTCACTGTGGGGTGGTGGAAAAGTGTCCTTAGATCTTTTATTCCTGAGCTAATTGAGGGTAACACTTTTAATCAATACAAGAAAGCCTTGACATCAAACCAAATTTTACCCTCTTCTAGAACTTTGTGTGTAGCTGGTGAGAGGGTTTAATTATTCTTGCTATTAGAGAAGTCAAAGAAATGAAAGAAACATTGGTAGCTCTTGTGACATTTTCCTAATAAGCTCTTTATTTTTCCTAGGGATCAATGAGCAAGGGCTCTACCGAATTGTTGGAGTGAACTCCAGAGTTCAAAAGCTGCTGAGTATATTAATGGGTGAGTATCGTGTGTGTTGTTAAGGCAAGTAGATTGTGCTGCTTTGAAGTCTCGCCAGCCGAGAACAGAGGCTCTTGTGGGGTACCTAATCGTGGTGAATGTGCTCTTAGGACCCCATTCTGTTAGAGGCCGCGAGGTCCCAGGGCACCACTGGCAGGTTGCTAAGGTAGGACTCGTGTAGGACGTGGCTTTCAAAGGTCTGGTGCAGTCACTGGTGTCCTGCTCACTTGCGCTATGAATTTTGGCAGCCTTCCCAAATGCAAACTAAAATCCTCAAAGAAATAGCCGAGAGCTTTGGTTTTAATCTCATACCTGCCACATTGTTCCCACAGTACTCGTTAATTATTTTCTTTTATGTGTTGCATGCTGCCTGTGGCTCTTGCATTCCCCTTGGACCTTTTTATGCCTGTTTTAACACAGTCTCACCCAGACCTTTCAAGCATGTGTTTCCCTCATGTCTGAGGCATCAGGTCCTGTGGTTCTGGGTGCTCGGGAGGAGAGAAGGTGTTGGGTCACACCATGGCAGCGCTTGGTGTTGATGCTGTGGGGCTCCTCTGAGCATTGGCGCTGATGTGCAGCCGCACTGTGTCTGCCCAGCAGCCCTCAGAAATCTCTCCCACCTCTGGAAGGATAAGATGGCAAGAGAGAGGCTGTGGGATTTGCTGCAGGTGCCTTGTGCTCTGATCTAGCATTCACATGGGCCTAATCTGAGCACTAAAACGTGCAGGAGCAAACAGGTCTTGTGATTGTCAGTGAGCTGGTCCTGGAGCAGATCTGGGGCCACTATGGCTTTTCCCGGAGTGGTTCCTTGTTGGTGGGTTTGGGTTTCCATCACCGGCAGCCATGCAAAGCAAATTGGGTCATACTTGTTGGTCTGCATTGGAGAATCTGTAGCCTGACTCCTTTCCAATGTGACTTCCTTTTCCTCGATCCCTCAAAACGCCAGCGCTCCTTTCTGTTTCTACTTGCAGAAAGTTTGAATCTGTTGTTTCACTTTCAACATCCTTCCTTCTCCTCTTCCAATTCCCCTTCTTTCCCCACTGTGAAGCTGTTCACTGAGCAAAGCCCGTGGTGGCTGTTAGAGTTGTCAGCGTTAACCTATGCAAAATTGATAATCTAGGGATAATTAGGAAGCAGAAGGGTAAGGCTCTAAATCAGAGGCTGACGCAAGGGGACCTCTCTGCACCGGTTTTGCTCTGGCATTTGGAAAGTTCTCTGCAGTCCCAAGAGCTGGTGACTGACTCCTTTATTAGTAGAAGTTTGGCAAAGCTTCTGGGGCATGTGAATATGTCCTGCTGGCCACCCAAGTACAGCAGATAACCAGAGCTGCCTCCTGGCACACATGCCACGTCCTCTGCTTCTGCTTTTCACGCCGGTGCGCATCGCCTCGCGAGCGAGCGGAGCAGCAGATCCCTTTTCCTCTCACAAGGGCAGTCGTGGGCTGTGTTGATTCTGGGCCGGGGTGGCGGTGGTGACAGATGGCAGAACTCGCTTGGTTTGGGAGCTCTCCGGAGCTGGGAGGGATTCAAAGCCTTGGACACCATCCAGCATCCATTATCTCCTCGGCGACTGAAGCCGCTCAGCTGTCGACCTCGTGTCTCATAGCGCGGTGATATACTGTCGGGGTTTCTCTTTGTCCTGGCATGTCTCCGTCAGGTGGAAGTCCCGTCAGAGGCGCGGGCGAGCGGGTGCTGCTGCGGGTGGGCGCGGGGAGCGGGCCCCCCTTTGGGGATCTCCCATGCTGTCAGTCACTGGAGCGCTTTGCAAACCTGGGCCTCCGTGTCTTCCTCTGAATCACAGGCAATTAAATCCTCTTCAGCAATCCCAGTGCTAGGGCTGACTGTGAAGTCAGACAGAAGCGTATCCGTTGTCAATCCCCTCGGCTGCCCCCGAGGCGCTGAGGCTCTGCCGGTAGCGGCACCGCTCCGCTCAATCCCTCGTGTTCGGATCCAATCCCTGTGTTCGGTTCCAACCCCCACGTTCGGTTCCAACCCTTGTGAAAGGAGCAGCCAACTTGTGCTGACAACTTCAGGTTTCTTTATATTTAGAAGTGAATGTGGGCAGCGTTACCGGTTCACATGCAGTTGAAATGGCAAAAAGCTCGGGTTTCCCGGCGGCGGCTGGGGTCAGTGACACTGCTGGGCAGGCCTCTGGCATGAGGTGTCCCTGCGGGAGGTCGGCACCGCCTGGGCTGGCCGCGGAGCAGAGGCTCTGGGCTTCGCCATCGCCAAGTACCGTCAAAATGAGGACAACACCCAACAAACAACAAACTTCTGTCAGTCAGAGCTCCTGTGGAGGGGTCAATGGTGGAAACGCGTGTGTGCAGGACAGTGGTGGTACTGGCAGGTCCAAAACCTGGCACTGAGTGGAGCATTACAGTGTCTGATCTTCTCCTCTTGGTCCTTCCCAGTGTTAGGAGTGAGCAGGGCTTCCGGTGGCCCCACGTTGCTGGGGTATAACGTGCGCTGTGGCTGGTTTGGAAATGTTTTCAAGCCGCCCAGGCGTGGGTGAGGATTATGGTTGGGTGACAGGGTGGTGCCCAGGAGCTTCCCTTGGCCATGGAGGAACCGGTGGGGAATTGAAACCAGCTCTGAGGGCAGCAGCTTTTGTCATCCCCAGGAAGGAGATGGAGAAGTTCCTCAGAAGGGGCTTTGGGCAGTGGTTATGTGGGATGGGCTGTGTGGGATGGTGATGGGCTGTGCGGCTGCCTCAGGACTGTCCCCTGCATCACACACCAGTGTCTTGCTATGGTTCCATCATGGCTTTGAGTTTGGGGATGTCTGATTAGCCTGGGCTTCCCTCCTGCCCGCTGTGCTGCTGTGCTGTGGCCAGCCCCATTCCTTGCCCTGTGATACCCATCCCGTCACCCAGGGTCTGCAGGGATGAACTCATGGAGATGGATGGGGCTCCCGTCCCCTCCGCTGCTGCTGTTTGCCTCCAGGAAGAAAACAAATCAGCAAAACTGCTTTTTTGGGAATGGGAAGAGATTCCTCCCACCCCTGAATTTCTATTTTCTATTGTCTGTGGTAGATCCTGCCATAAAAAGACATGTTCTAATTTCTTCTTGATGTAGATCTGGAGTGCTGCAGCTCCCCTGTCTTTCCTCAAATGTCCCACGTACGAGGCTGTAAGTGATAACCCCCCTACCACATCCCGGGGAGAGCTGGGAACCGCCATCCTGGGTGTCCTTTGGGACCACGCAGGATGAGTGAAGGGAGCAGGGGGGGTGCTGCAGCCAGCAGTGCCTCAGGGTGAGCAAAGTGCTTTCCTCAGCCTCTGCTGGAATAAAAGCCTTGGGGAAGTTAATCTTCCGCTTCTTTTTTCCTTGCCCTTTCACTTCAGCTTTTCCGTATCTGCCAAGAGACATCCGATGAGTAATTTGTAGCAATAAGCAACATCAGGGTTAACACTGAATCTGGCCTGTGGGGGCTTCTGAAACCCCGTTTCACATTTCCACCAGATCCTGTGGAGAGGCGTCCTTGCGCGGGGCGGAAGGTCGCTGCGGTGCGCTGCAGGCACCTCTAGCTGGGCAGACAGATGCTCCATCACTAACCTACAAAGCCAAACTCTTTGCAGACTCATAACTTTGGAGGGAACTGATGATCTGCTCTGAGCCTTTTTATGCCACCGCCCGCAGCATTTCACCTAGGGCTTCGTCAGTCCACCTATGACCTCCTGGATGAGCTTGTGAAAGGACATCCAGTCTTGAGCTGTTCATTCAACTGCAGGGAAGGAAAAAGGGGCTTCTTTAAAAGAAGAGGGTTGTTTTTTGGAGTTACTTTTATTTTGGTATTTTTTGTCACTATGCCAGGTTTATCTTTAGTCTCTTTAAACTGCCTCCTTCAGAAGGAGGTGCAATAGGAAGTTGCACTAGCTTTGAGGGGAAGGATGGTGTTCATTTGTGTGATTGCAGTGAGGGACACATGACCCTGGTGTGGATATACAGGTCTGAGACGTTTATGTTTTCAGGTGCTCCTCTTGATGGTTTTTTGTAATTAAAGTAACCCCTTGCCCGAGGCAGAGACTGACTCTTGTTCAGTGCATTCTTTTAATTAGTTTTAAAATTGCACTGTGCTACCTCTCGCTTTAGAATTCGAAAGCTCATTGTACGTGTCGGTGGGAAGACAAACACCCGCTGAGCCAAGTCCATGGGACCAGATGGTGTTGGCAGCTGTATCTGGCGTCAGGCTTGGCCGTGGTCATGGCAAATGCTCCTCTGCGCCTGCTCCGGCTCTCAAGGGATGCCCTTGTCAGTGAAAGGATCCACATGGGTCTCCCAGCATCCCCACAGAGGTTTCACAGCGATTTTGGTGGGAGCAGGATCCCTGTTTGTGTTTCCAGGTCCTGCTCACCCAGAGCTTGGGGCAGCCAAAGCCTTCAGCTCTGGAGAGGCTGATTGATCCTAGAATCCCAGACTGGTTTGTGTTGGAAGGGACCTTAAAGCTCCTCCCGCT